AATACTATCTAGCTTTGATGTGAGAGAGATTCAGGACTATAAGTATCTGATATCCATGAGAATCTTACTTAAAATTGGTCATTTTTTTCGTCTGGCATGTATAGAAGCTGCATCTATAATGTGTGACTAACTTCTAGTAGTTTCTCACTCATGGAGTTCACATTACTTCTGTTCTTTGTAAGATGCACAGAGGCAATTGCAAGGAGAAGAAATGTGCAGTTTTTCAAAACATTGTATAGCAAATTGGTACTTTCTCTTTTAACAGCGTGGGAGCCTGTCACTGGATTGCTCTGTTTCCTATAACAGAAGCCATCAGAAAACTGCCAAAGCAATTATGCACATAAGTCATTCAGCTTTGTATACTTCCATGCAGTTAAAAAAATGAAGTTGCTTAGAATCCAGTTGTGCCAATATCTTCAATGACACATAGGCCCCATCTACACGTTATACCTGATGTGATTAACCAGTTAATCACATCTTAAATCGTGACCAAACCATATGCTCAAGTGATTAATGGTATGATAAAACCAGGAATAAGCCACAGTGTTATTCCACAACAAAATTTGTAATAACTTCATTCTCATCACACTATTAATACAATCTGTGGCCAGGTGTTCCCTGTGGCTGGGCACCCTGTCAGCTGACAGGATTTGCAGCATGTCAGCATATGGGGTGCTTCTGCAGCTGGAAAATCCATCAGTTCTGGGACTGTCAGCCATGGGAGCTTGCTACTTGCAAGGTCAGGGGGAGCCCAGGGCCATGATCCCAGGCTTATCCTTGCACCAGTGAAAAGGCATGATTTGATCCGATGCTTCATCCCCCAATCACGCCTCCTGCCATGCATGTGTGGAATGGTAGGAGGCACGATTGTGTGGATCACATATCAGATCCGATAATTCCTGTACCTGAATGTCTGGCAGGGGCAATAGACAGCAAAAGCCCATCACACAGAAAATCTGAAGTGGCTAGTTGTGGATATTCCTTTTAGAGTTAGGGGTCGGTAATGCAGAAGGAGAAAACTATACAGTACCACATATGATTAGTCAGGTTTTTGAGCTCTCATTTCTTGAGTAGTGAGATTCTTCATGAGGATGTTATCTTGCAGAACAGAGGTCAGATATGAAAACTTCCCTTTGCCCCAAAGGGAATGCCCCAAAGGGAATGCCCCAAAAAGCCTTTCTGTAGAAACTGTACATTTCTACATGAGGTGCTACTGCACAGTGGATACTGTGCATTCATTTAGTACTTGTATAATCAAGTACTAGATAAATGTGCAGTAACCAGAGTTACTGCACAGTACTACCAGTGAACGCCTTTTAAGTGATCCTACTACTGCACAGTATTATTTGACTACTGTGCAGGTAGCATCTCATGTAGACATAACCACTGAAAGTGCATCAATTAAGAGGAGAAGCAATTTACCAGCAACACTCCACTGTGATGGTACTTCTATAGCCTATAGCAGGGGTTGTCAGAGAAGGCTCTAAGGGGTATGCATGGGCATGGATGGAACGTAACTGCACCATTCCATGCTGCCGCACAGGCACCACCCAGCTAGCTGGATGTGAGGAGTGGGGGCAGCCACATTCAGCCATGCACCAACATCCCCCCTTCACCCCCTGCTCCACGTCCAGCCGCTAGGGGTACGCTGCTCCACGGCCAGCTGCTGGGGGTACACTAATCCAGAAAGGTTGAAAACCCCTCGCCCATGGAACCCCAGCTGTTGTATTAACCCTTCCATTTTCCTAGATGCTTTATTTAACACAGCAGCCTTCAGCTGCTACATTTTTAATTCCTTTTAAGGTAAAGAGGATTAAGCAGATGACTCTGCGGAGTTTATGAAAATGTATACAAGATTATTTATGCTTGAACTATTGGGGGCGGGGAACAGGAAGTGGAATAAAGAAGACCATTACAAAAAAAGATATCCATCAAACAAGTTGGGCTTATCCAAAGTGAAATTAACCCCTGAGTTTTTAGGGATTCACCGATTATTGGGTACAATATGAACTTCTGGAACAGTAATGGTTTATACCAGACACTATTACAATATATATTTGTATGTTGAATTGTTACATTGTTAGAAAAAAATCATATTATTTGATAAGTTGTCTTAATAAAGCCACCAAATATTTTATTTTAAGTAGTGCATCAATTTAAAAATAAAAAGAAGTATAAAGACAGTTTGTTCCCAGTGGTGTTAAACCATGCAGATATAGCTTCATGTTAAGCTTTGCTTTTGTGTAGATTAGAGGGAGGCACAAGTACTGAGCTGTCTCTTGTATTTGCTTTCCCCCTTTGGATAATCACTATCTTTTCAGTGAACTTTTGACTGTACTCCAGGGTATAGGTAATGAAAACCAATATCAGATGCATATAATATTAGACAACCTTATTGCAGTGCTGCCATCACATATCATTACTATCAATTTGACCTTGTCAGCACACTGTGCAATATGTTCTTTGCTTTAGGTTTTATTACTAGTGCTCTTACTGTCTGCAAGAGCTATATGATCTAATTGATCTCAACAGCCACCTTACTCATTTCTTGAGTAACTAGCTCTGTACTCAGACATATTATTGTAATCATTTTTTTCAAGTTTTTATAACTCAAATCTGATGTAGGTTTGCATCTGACCAAAAACTCTTGTAATGTGCATTATTATGTACTATAATATATTCAGTTTTTCAAATAAGATCTTATGCCTCCTGCCATTCACTTTCTTCTAACATAAGATGTTTATTAGGCATTTATGCTTCAGACTGTAGACACACAACATAATTTGTTTTTGAAAACTCTATAAATAAAACTACCATTAAATGAACTTATATACTTGGCACGATTGGCTTCAAAATATAACTACAAGCTTCAAGCCATCATATTATTAGGAGTTCCTGGGAGCAGAGAAACAGAATGCTTTTCAGTTATAACAAAAAAAATATATCAAAGTTGTAGAGCTACAACACATAGATTGTAATTGTCATATTAGAGAGTGAATTGTGAAAAATGAGTAATAACAAAAATCACTGTATATGCTCCCAGATTCAGAACACGCTGTAAGATTTGGAAGAATAAAGACATTTCAATGACAAACAACACCCCCCTCCTGCCCCCACCCCAGTATATGTATGACAACTTCTGTGCCAATACTGTTGCTTGGGTCAAATGTTGAAGCAATAGAAAAATCAGCAAATGAAAGATACAGACTGCAGAAATAAGTTTTCTGACAGCAATACTGAAAATTTCAAGACTCCAGAAAATAAAAATGAAATGGTATGGAAACAGCTAGGACAAGAAGTGACACTGTTGGAGAAGATTTAAAAGAAAATAATTGTAATAGTTTAGACATATGTAAAAAATTGGCTTAGAAAGGAGTATGGTAGTATATTGCAGAATGTAAAAAATGAAAAAAATAAAAGAAGGTTGAGGACACATTGCACAGACATGGTGAGAATGACATAGATCAAAATGATTTAAATATGAGTAAGTCTTGATCTGTTTAAGGTTAGAAAAAATAATTTAAGGTTAGAAAGACATTGCTTCTGCACTAACAGACCAGAATAAAAAAGTAATGTCTTCTGAACACTAAAGCGGAATTATCTCTACATATTTTACAATTGACAATGTATTACTAAGACTCAATCAGGGGACTGCATTTAATCATAAATCATGAAAGCGTTGACTGAACAAAAAACCCTGTAATGAGGAGGGTTTGAAGAGTCTTGGCTTAGGACAACATAGTCACATTTCAGTGTATCAGTACGCTATACTGTCTGTATGCTTAGAGATTGAAATTTCATAGTAAAGGAAAAGAATCATTGTAGTGTCTTATCCAAAAGGAAAGGTACTCTTACCCTCTGGAACTACTTTCTCCATATCAGAACAAGAATTTATGTCCTAGTTGCAGGTAGATCACATTGCAAGATGCAGATCAGACTTCTTGTCTTCTTGCTAGCAACAAATAGACACGAGCAGTAGGATGGCAGATTAAGAAGACTCAACAAAGTGAATCCTTAGTCACTTCTCTACTGTCACATGTCCATCTTCCATTTTTTCTGGAATCTGAAAAATATGAGGGGGATAACCTCATCCTTGATCTGTCAGAGATACAAGATCTCTTAAGGATGAAATATACATATACTTTTGAGCCTTCCAGGTCAGGAAATATTGAGAGTGATTCTTCATTCCTTTTTTTAAAAAAAAAGCAGTCTTTAGCTTTTTTATATATATATATACTTTTTTATAATATCCCTTAATTTCTTGAAAGCATAAAATACATATTAATCCCAGATCAAAAAAGTAAGGCAGAGACATGGATGACCTATATAAAAAGATCACACAGGAAATTATTGGGGCTGGAAGGCTGTAACTCAAGGTGGATGCCACCCATTCCTTAACTCCTTCCAGGCTCTAACTGTATGAGTTAGAGATGTAAATTAATGTGAAATAAAATAATGTAAAATCTAAGTAAATTAATGTAAAAGACAATTTTACAAGTTTAAGGGTGTGCTTACATTTTACAAGCTGCATGTGCTAACTTTAAAGATGAATATGTCCATATTAAAGTTAGCACAAGCTGTGATTATTTGCATGTTCAAGGTTAAAACCCTCTGTAACATGCACAGTTCGGACCTGCCACTAGAGGGTTGGAGAACAGGGGTGTGGCTAGATCTGCTTCATGTCTGTCCTACTTACCAGCTTCCTAGCATGGGGGCGGGCAATTATTTTGGGCAGAGGGCCGTTTACCACGTTTTGGCAAGCCATTGAGGACCACATGGTTAGTCCCACCCATTGACAGGTGCCCCATCCCCTGGTCACCATCTTGGGAATGGAAGTTCTATCCCTTAACCCCTGACCTTTATCACCAGAAGTCCCTCCCCTTGCCCCCCGGAAGTACTCCTTTCAGCAAGGGGTTTTGCCATCTCTGAACCAGAAAAATACCAAATTATATTCTAAAAATCAAACGTGCTACAACGTTCATTAACTTCATTTAAAAAAATATTTTTGTCCTGATTTACATGAGTTTGTGTAATGTATATAGAGGCTATAGCACAATAGCTTAAAATGAAGTTTTACTCTTATATATTGTGGGAGGGTGGGTATAGTTTTGTGAGTATGTGAGGTGTGGGGGAGGGTGGCATGTGTGGGGGGGATTTGTAGGGTGGTGGATAGAGGTGTGGATGTTGTTGGGGGCAATGGGTTTTGTGGGGTGCCAGACATGCTTCTGCAGATGTTTAGTTCTGCCACTGGCTTCCCCTGGGTCCTACTGCCCCTGTCTCCTATCATCTTTGACAGGCAGCCAGGAGCAGAAATATTAATTTTATAAATTTTTTAGGGGCCCCACAGGCCAGATAGAATAGCCTGGTGGGCTGGATCTGGCCTGCAGGCTGTATTTTGCCCGCCCTTGCTCTAGCAGCAACATCAACCTCCCAGCCCATGTGCACATGCGCACACAAACAGTTCTGGTATGCGCATGCACACACACACACACACACACACACACACACACACACACACACACACACACTTATCCAGCCCCAGTGTGTGCACACATATACATGCACACACATGTATGCATGCACATACACACACATAAGTAATCTAAATCCACAGCATGTGTACACACACATGCACATAAACATGTGCACATGTACACACAGGTCACCCCAGCATGTGGCGCACACACACCCACACACTTTACATCCCCAGACTTGTTTTTTGCTGCTGTTACTGCCCAGCAATGGAGATGGGGGAAAGTGGGAAAGGGCTCCCTATATTCTCCCAGACTCTGCAAGGCCCTGCACAATCAGGGACAGTCCCCAGCTGCTGCTGTCACCCTGAGGCATGTGTGGGACCATGAAGATCCAGGAGCATGTAGGGGGCCCAGCCTCTCACTGCTGTAACAGGTGTCAAAGCAAGTCTGGGGATGGGGTGTGTAGTAGGAAGGGTGTGTGACTATGGTAGATGTACAGGGTGTGATGTGTTATCCTGTGAATGGCATAGTGTGTGAGAGTGTGTCCTTCCAGGGCCTCCACAGCCCAGAAGCTTCTAACCCCACTTCCAAACTCTTCACTTTGCCCACATGCCCCCGAAGGCCCTCTTATGGCCCTACAGCTCCCCAGCCTCTCCCCATCTCTCACCAACTATAGCTCTACTGTCTGGTCTGTTATAGCAGGGAGCATTAGAGTCCAGGAGGGCAGCTAATGCAGCAGGTAGTGGTGCCTTCCAGGATACTGGAGGCCCATAAATTGTCCATTTTATCTCTGTAGAACATTTAGAAGTTAACTAAATCAAGCTGCCTGGCACAGCTCAAAGATAACCCTCACCTCAAGTAGCCTAGAGGAACCTAGAGGACACTTAGACTAGTTACTGAGCATAAACATGCAAGCATTCATGTTTTAGGTGCCCTTAATTTGAGCTAATTGTAATGTGTAGTCTCACATTAAAGTAACATTGCATCCACCTGTGGATTTATTTAATGCATGTATTTCTGAAATCAATGTTTTAAAAGACATTTGCTTCAATTTTATACAAAGATCTCTACTCTCTGATCCACTTATATCTTGTGGAGTAAAATCAGTCACCCTGTTGCACATGTAACTTCTCACTAGTTGGGTTCCTTGGTGGAATTCAGAGCAACTAAAAAGGTGAAATCAGCCCCCAGCTTGGGAAGATGCTGTGTAATGTTTTGGCAGCAGGTATAGTATACTTACTTCAAATAGCCAGATGCCATTTTATTATTTAGCTTTGGTGTCTCCTTTCCTGTGTCATATGACCACATTTTTCTCTTGGACAGAAATACATTCACTAATTGATTACATATATTGGTGTGCTAAAATACAAATATGGATATTTAAAAGGTTAAAGTATTCCTTATTCTAAGTCTATTTGTTTTTTAATTAAACTAGTACCTTCTTCAAATACATTAAAATCAGTAAGTGGAGAAAACAGGGATAAAAAAGATTATTTCCAATCATTATCTGGATTGAGGATGAAAACTACATAAACAAGTCATCATTCATCACTATAGAATTATATTAATACAAAACCTATGGCTAGCTATAGGGAAAAACATAAAGGTATTATAACCATAACCAATAGGAACATTTACAAACATGCCATTTTATACATCAATGTATTCCATAAATATTTAAAGTGAAAATACATATTGATTATTTTTGCAAGTGCCTTTTTATCTTAGTCACTTCTATTTTCCCTGTCACTGTGGAGCACATATTTTATTTTATATTGATTTTTCAAGAAAACTGTAGAAAATGACAAATTTTAGCTTACTTTAACTTTATTGATGATATCTTTTATAGCTTTACATATCCTGAATTTTCAGTGCTGTGGCATACTATATTCATCCAAAACAAATGGAACCATTTTAGTTGTTTTGTAATTTATCAGTCCAACAATTCCTGTGTAGTCTGTGCTACATTCACATAAAGGAAACTATTTTAGACATGTCACCTATGCAATTTGGGAGGTGCAAAATTAATTATCTTGTAGATATACACTACATGTGCTTTGCGATGGTTCAATTATCAATGCTTCTCTGACATCACTGGATTAGCAATTTTGTGCAGCACAAAGGAGCTCAAACTTCTGTCTTTAACTGTTATTATAAAGACTATAATTGAAAATGAATGTATCCTGTGATGGCAATTCATTTTATCTTTCAAAGCATGTTTATAATTGTTAATAGGTACAGGAATGCAAAATGTTCCAATCTAGTATAGTTTACAGTATTATTTGGTCAAAATTAAGCCACCACTAGACATTGTTGAGACAGGATCAATTATTACATAGCAAAAAGAAGCCAGGTGTAAATATGTACTGAGACATATGGTCAGTCAAAATGTAAACATCTATTATTTTAACAACACTTAAATTAGTTGTCAGAGATATCACAACTAAGTAATGTGATATTAGAACTAGTTGAATACTTCAAGAAAATAATATTTGTGTGAACAATTGTTTGAAGTCCCTATGGGTTTTTTAAAGCTATGTCTATAACCCTTTTTATTCCCTATACATGTTATGTGAACAAATGTTTGTTTGCACTAATGTTGGAGGAATGGTTCCTCTTTGCACACATATTTATACATATGTAAAAACAATTTGTATGAGCAAGAGTATTCACTATTTGTCATATGCCCTTAATTAGTTCCTCTTGTTAAATTGTTTCATGAACTAGTCAGAGAAGAGATACTATTTCAAGCCATGCACCAAGAATAATATAAATAGTTGAAGTACAGTTATAATATAATGGTGGACATCTCTGAAACTTAACATTGTTCATCCAACCTTTTTTGTTGAATAATTTTGAATGAAACATACAACTGGAACAAATGAAAAAAATAAAATGAAAAAAAATTGTAAATAATTTATGAAGAAAGAAAAGAGTGAAATATATATTTTTGAAATAAGCAAGTAAGCAAGCTTCTTACTTATTAATAAAAAAACCTTACTGATGAACAAGAAGAAGGAAAACTTCACATATGTCCCTTTAAACTATAGAATATTGAATATACCGATACCTAATTGTGCATGATAAATACTCATGTGGCTCACCTTATCATAATACAAGTGCAAGATGAGAACTACTGTTTTGCTGGCTGGCTCAGCAGCAAGAAGAAAATGGAGAACAGTTCTTTTAATTTTCCTATATCAAAATATTGTATGTAATCCGAAGATCCATCTCTGCCCTCCTGCAGCTCTTAGCCCACACTTTCACCTGCATTCTTTCCTCTGCCATTCAGTCTGCTCACCACTATTCTTCCATGCCTTTTCAGCACAGACAAGTCATTCCCTTGCCTCTGACATTGAATTGAACCAACTGTACTCTGCAGCTTCTTTAGCCATCAGGAGAAAATATGTAGAAGTGGGGATGGTTTTATTTTCCTAACACCTCACCCTGGCAAAAGGGAGATATGGTTTAGAAGGCTCATTGTAGGAAACTCAACTCAACACTTCTTTATATAGCCATATGCTGTCTCTCTGCCACAGCCCCCTCAGTGATCCAGGGGAAAACCCTAGAAATGATCTATTCTCAAAGTTACCTCTACATAGAAAATGACCATTTTGTCAACGTTGTTAATTATAAAAAGGCAGAAGGCCAAAAATAGTAATGTATTTAAATTCTGAGTATAGAAATATTAGATGCATTTTCCTTACCAATACAGCTCTGTGTTCTTTGAGAAGATAAAATGGAGGGTCTCTTCTGCATTGCAGATGTTATATATTCCACAACAGAAAAGTGAGAAGTGTGCTGTAGCTAATATATAACTGTTCTCCTTTCTTTGTTGAGTTTATTGCTACATGTATAAACACAGAGATAGGCATTTTTTGTATAGCTGAGACTGAATACTGAATCCCTATTTTGGTTATTTGATTTACAGATGGGTGATCACCAATGCAAGATCAGAATGTCAAAAACCTTTGTGCATGCTCATTCCTTTACTTGCATTCTCACAATGTTTTTTCTGACATTGTGCAGATTTGATGTGTCTGGGAAAGCAGAACATATAATTTTTCTAGTATGTCTCCTTGCAGCAGCATTGCAGAAGTCAGAAATATGCATAAGATTTCTTGAGGAAGCAGGGCAGCAGGGAAGCATAGTGACCCATGCATAATCATTTATAATCCGAAAAGTATCTTAAAAAATTGATTTTTTTTGTTAACCAATATAGTGGCCATTCTTTTATAGATTAAAACTAGGTATTATATCCTCTTTTGGTTTAAAACTCATTGTGTTCAAAATACCATTCTTCAGCCTCATCCTCACTAAAGAGTTCTATTAATTTTCCTAATAGATTGGAGTATTAGTATAATTCTTGTTTCTTTTTTATGAATCAGAGTAGCAGCATTTCTTAAGAAAGTCTCTAACGAAGTCTTCTTTAGTCAGATGGGGGGAGGGGAATAAGTGTTGGTGAGTTATCTCATAAAAAAGGGGGAAAATCTTATACAAACTAGTTGTTTTATGTATCAAAAGATCTTGATCAGTTATATAATCATATCTAGTCATTTGTTACTTCAGAAACGTTTTTAGTATTAGATTAGTTTAGATGCCAGAATCATAAATGTCTTGAATTTTGGAGTGTTCTCTTGCTCCTGGCCCAACTGTTTTATTCTTATATCATCCTGTTATCACTAGTCATCAAGCTATCTCCATTACTTGGAAGTCTTCCTTGAGCCATCAGTCCTCAGTTGTTTTCTAAACACAGTTCCAGAACAAGGAACCAATTGTTGAGTGTATATCTCAAGAATAAAACTTGAAATATACACTCTTTTACCCAAAGGCTCTCCATTCTTGGCATACACCAGGCAAGGAGGGGCATTGATCGATAGCAATGGAAAAGTCTGTAAGCTTATGCAAGCCTCCCATGTAACAACCTGAATTGTAGCGAGGTGAAGAATAAGGGTTGGAAGAGGAGTTAGAGAAAACAAAGTAAAAGCAGGGAATGAAAGCATCTGTGGATTTTACTTCAGGACTGCAAAAATCTCTTTCCAGCCAGTGAAAAGCAGCGGCAGTCATAAAGCAGAGGGAGAAGAAAGGAAGCAATAAATAAGGAAAATGGTGAAATGAATGATTAAAAAAAGGAGTGATACTAGATATGGATGAATAGTGCACTCAAAAGGAAGACCACAAATTCACTGAGTTAGCAAATGAGATGATGTTTCTTATGTCAGCATTAAAACCAATGAGAAATAGAGTTCAATCTTTCATTAGGAATAGGATAAATATGTCATTAAACAAAATATATAAGTATACCAGTTCTCCAGAAACTAAAACATATATGGTATTGCTCCATTATTACACAGGAGAAAATTAAGAGTTTTCTTGTGAGCACATGTTTGCTTTAGGAACAATTGACATCCATGTTTTTTATCCTTTCCTTTAAACAGAGGGAGTCTTGGCTCAATTGGCTCTTAACAATTTGAAGATTATAAAGGGCAATCTTGGATCTATACACCTGATAAAATAGCGGTTAAAATAAAACTTAGAAAAATAAAATCAAAAGCTTAAAAGACGAACATAAAAAGAAACCAGTATCTATAATTTCAATAATGTCTGATTATAGCAGGAGACCCAAGGTTGTTTCACATCAGATACCAACAAAAAAGATGAACTTGAGGAGAAATAATTTAAAATACTTGGAAAGACTGACCCATCAGTTTAGCTTAGAAATATAGTAATTTGCTTTTCTCAGAATTTCTTCTTCCAGTGGAAGATCAGTATAAACAATAGGGTTCATACCGTATTGCCCTTTATTGCAAATACTGATGATGATAGCAGCAGAATAGTTTAGAGGACAGAAACTTGAAACAATTAAGGTGTCATAAAAGAGGACTCTAATAAGACTGATAGAAAAAGGACATTTTCTCTGATGGGATATCCTCTAAACACATCAATAGGACAAGATCAGTGAATACAAGAAACACGTAGTGAAGTTACTATAACTGGTGACACAGTTAGAAAATATGGGTTGAAAATGCATACTGCCAACTCTTTTTAACAGAGTATCACAATGTTTATAATAGTGAGGTAGGACATAAAAGTATAATAAGTAATACATTGTTGGGGGAAAAACAAGATGCTATCAAGACAGTGAAAATGTTACCTGTCTTCTCTTCCATTTTAGGTAATTGTTTAAGCATATTTCTATCTTACTTCTATCTTACAAAAATTCAGGAGTCAGGGTAACTGTCTATGATGGAGAAGTAGTGACAGTGACCGTGCAGTAATGATACCAAGTGTAGGAAGTCCTTGATTCTGCTGTTGAGATTTTAGCTCTGTCTCCAATCCACTCAGATGCATGTATTTATTATATATGGATTTGCTAGCTTTCACATGTAATACATTAAAAGCACTTCAGAGTTTCTGTTTTTAAGAAAGATTTATGCAAATGAAACAAAGATAACTTTCACTGGTCTTGGAATTGAATCCTTCTCTGAAGTTGAATGTGGCAACAGCAGTTATATAGATGTTTTGAACATGAATTGAGTATTTTAAAGGAATTAAAAGACTTGAAAAACTTGAGTTGAGAGTGCTTCACTCAATAGCATTCAAGTGATTAATTCGTAGTGAAAATATATGAGTGTATATGAATTATATATTTCAGATTCTTGTGTTAACCTATTAATGACTTAAAGTTGGGGAAAAGTCAGGGTAGAGATGTACCTTATACACTAACTAAATCAGAGATGCATAAACTTCTGGGTTATAGGTTCTTTTTTAAATCTATCTAGAATTCAGAATAATTGATCTTGAAACTTTTCTGAGTAGTTTTGGTAAAATACACTTATAGTACAAGCTCAGCGAGAGGATTTGAAAGAGAATTTTAAGAGGTCATTTTAACAAATAAGAATTGTTACAGAAGATTAATATCTTTGCATTTAGAGGTTTAGAAAAGCATCATAAAAATGTGGGTAGACCAAAAAGATATGATAACTATACACAGACATAGGCTGAAAGCATGAGAAGTGTAGGG